ATAGAAAAGTATGTAGAACAAAAGTACACTATGGCAAGGTTTGTCTCAGACTCTCTTTTTTGTTTGCCATTTAACTGCTGTTTTGGTGTGCAAGGAGATAATGGACTGGAAAATATTCCACTTGGCAAGGTGGAAGGAAGAAAGGGATTATAAAAGGAAATTTGGATTGATTGGATCAAACAGATTATTGGAACACTTTCCGAAGAATTATCAGTAATTTTTGATGGAACAAACCAAGGCAGTTAGCATTTCCCTTGCAGTTGTTAGGTGTCAACTCTGTGATATCAAATAACCTGTCTTAGTTAAAAGTTATTTCATTGGAAATTAAACTGGAAGAAAGAAGCAAAATATAATTTTAGGTAAAACTTATGTTATGTTGGTGCCTTGTTTTAAACACATTTTAAAAGAAGTGCAGATTTCACTGTATTTTATTGCCCATGTTTTCTCATCATGAGTAGAGTTTTTCTAAATCCTAGTTTCCCAATGTCTCCAAATGGTTAGTGTAGGAGCGATTTTTTTGAGTTAACTATAAAAATTCACATACGGTAGAGCAGGGGTGTCAAACTCAAGTCGTCACAGCGGCGTCATGTGCCGTTTTGGGACTTTTTTACCCTGCTCAACCAGGTGTGGGTGTGGCCAGTGCATGACGCACCTGGCCTGTGAGCCAGGAGTTTGACAGCCCTGCTGTAGAGCAGTGTTTCTTAGCCTCAGCAACTTGTAAGATGTATGGAGTTCAGCTCCCAGGGTTCCTGAGCTAGGATGCTGGAAGTTGAAGTCCATGCATCTTGAGGGTGCTGCTGTTGAGAAATAATAATATAGAGTAAGACTGTCACGCTGGTGTAATTCAGGGAGGCAAAGTATGTAATGTTATTACCATTGCTACCATGAACTAATTTAGTTTGGATGTTTAGTAAATTTGACACTCTTCATTATATACTATTATAGGTGCCAAGAAAGGCCATGTGCTGATAAAATATATCAGATAGATGTATCTGCAGACAGAGAAAATAGGATAATAAAAGAAAGCTCTATTGAAGCAAGGAGAGCATTTTCAATCATATCAAGACCCTATTGTACATCTTATCTGAAATAAATATTTGCATGCATCCTGGCCACAAAGTGGAATGGCTTCTCATTTACACAAATTTGTTGTGCAACAAAGCCAAGATATCTAGTTGGCAATGGCATTTGCTGAACATTATCATAGTATTAGTTGCCAGATTCCATGACACTTCACTCCCGATTTAAAATATATTAGTTCTATTAAGGACTTCCTTCTTCCCATAATAAATATAGTTCAATTATTACATGCAAGAATGGTGTACTTAGAAGGAGAAAGTTTCTGTCAGGCATCCTTAAAGATACATCTACACTATTCTAGCTAATTGTTTATGTATGAGAAAATTCTCTTTATATGCATTCATCTATGTAAGACTCTACCTTATGCTTTCAAATAACAGAGATTTCTTTTTTCTTTCTTTATGGAGAGTTCATGAACGCTGAATTCATGGAATTGTGAACAATTAGATAAATGAGCAGGGTATGTGTGTTGCATCTAAATATTTGCAATTTAGAAATAAAATAAAAATACTTAGATCAACATTATGATTGACTGCTTGGACTTGGACTGCTTAGATCTTTATGGGCAGTTCAGACAAGTATTTGTCTACCTGTTATTTTCCACGGCTACTTATAGTTTTCTTTTTCCTTCTGGGAAAAAATAGATTAAGAAAAAAATACTAAATCCCAAAATTTGGGTTCTCTTATCTATGGAATTAAATCTTAATTTTATCTGCTGTGTAAATTTCATGATTGATCTCATATATTAGATATGTATAGTATAGATAATATATAGTATTGTTTACTACATTGTTTTACTGCTACTGTATTATTACTAATGCTACTACTATTGTTTACTAAAATGATTTGTACTGGACTGTATTAACCAAGTATGTTCAGTTTAAAATTCTGTGAGGATCATTATCTGTATGAGAGCCAGTTTGGTCTAGTGATTGAAATAACAGACTAAAAGCCAAGGCACTATGATTTCTAATCCCACTTTAGGCACTAAATCTGCTATGGGCCAATCACTCTGTCAGCCTAATGAAGAAGTCAGTTGCAAACTGGCTTCTGAAAATCTGGCCCCAAAACTGGCTGAGGAATTCTGGGAATTGAAGTCCACAAGTCTTAAACTTGCCAAGTGTGGAGACCTTTGATCTATACATTAGTTTATAGTTTTTATATATGTTTAATATTTTTCTTTCTTATACTAATTTCATTTATATGCTTAAAAATTACAATTACTATTTTACAGAAAATGGAGGAATAGCTGCCTTCTATCTATTGCTAGTCTAAACGCCATCATCTGAAAAATATCACGAATTAATTTAATACATTTTTCCTGCAGTTAACTTGCATTGCCTATGTGTGAACAAAGAAATTCAGTACTCCTACAGAAACTCCTAGTTTTTGTACTTGGTAAATTAAAGATCTTAGTATCTAGCTGCTGGTTTCCTAACAAAAGTGTCAATCTTTGGGTTTAAAACCACTTCAAAATGAATTAAAGTAGGAAGTAAAGTTCTAGGACCTTTATTTTGATTCTTAGCTCAAATGTTTTCAGTATCAGGAATTGAACTAATAGTCTATGTTGTGGTTTCAATTTACCTGTACTCTGCTGACAAACAGTATTAAGCAATGTCCCCAACATATCTAGAATATTTTGCCTTTGTGCAGACATAGACAACAATTCCTGATCACAGTGAAGACAAAATAATAGTGTATAATAGTATCACATTGGAAGTGCTGCTCTTTTATCCTTCCATCACATGATTGCATGCAACTATGCAAAGGAACGAATTTGCCTTGTGACATATTTTTTGTCACTTTTTTCCTCATCCACCCTGCAGATACATATGTATGCTGAGTTAATCTATTTGACGGCCCTTAGCCAAGAGCATAGTGGCTGTGTCACTATTCTTCCATGGTCTGGATAGAGCTCTGTTTTATCAGAAATACAACGGATGTGAGACTTTTATACAGGCCAAGTATATCATTTACCACTTAGCCAGAGACTTAACAAGGCTTTTATCAAATAATTAATATTAAAGCTGTGCATTCTGCCTTTTGGCTCCAAATTATCCCGTAAAATAAACTAAGCAGTAGTTCTCAAGATGGGTACACATGTCCAGATAGCTTATAAAATTTTCTTGGCTTGTAATCTATGAATAGGCTAACTTCATTAATTTATTTAGCAGTCCTAAAGAAGTAGAAGAACAAAGATAAATGGCTTTGTTAAATAGTAACTATTAAATTTATCAGAGTAAAATACTGGTGTAAAATTGAATGAATGAAATCACATGGCTTCCTCCATGACTTCAATTATAGTAATATATTTTCCTTAACTTAGAATAAAATATTAGTCCAACAGTGTATCTTGCCCCATGTTTGAATCGAGATTCATAATGGTACTAAAGATCTTTTAATTACAAGCCAATTCTGAAGACATGGCCGACTTGAATTAACTCCCTAACTCAAAAGCTCATTTAGATTGACAGGATAATCATCCATCCAGAAATCATCAGAAGTTTCTACGAATGAAATTCCCAAGAGATTAATAAAATCCTGGAGAACTTTAGAACCCTGATATTATTAATTCTGCTTTTCTGTCTTTCAATATGATGTACTAGCATGTAAATTTAAAAACATGATTATCCCTAATTGTAAGACTCTTAGTTTATAATACTGTAATGTATTTACAAAATTATTTCCAAACTAGTGATATTCTTTGAAACTGGAGTCCCAAAGGTGTTTTTTCAGGAGACAATTGGATTTCCTTGTTTTTTCTTTGAAGGCGTTTCTCTTCTCATCCAAGAACTTTTTTCAGCTCTGACAGGATAGTGGGGAATGGAAGGATTTATATTCCTTGCAGACAGCTTGTCATTTGCATCCTTTTAGAGGGTAGTTGAAGCACTTGGAGGTTTATCTGTGTTCTCAGGGTCACCTGAGTAGTGCTCCTGGTTCCTGTAGTCTGCAATTTTTCTCTGGAAATTTATTCCTACTCCCACACCATTCGAAGGGTGTTCATCCCAAATTGTATAGCTAAAAGTCTGTAAGAGATTCTCAGTCATCCAGGTCATGGTTATCCCAAAGGTGCTTTTTCAGGAGGCAACTGGATTTTCTTGTTTATTCTTTCTTTTTAAAGAAAGAATTACAAGTTCATATATCATGCTAATTCATGATTTGACGAAGAACCACAGTTAATAGGGTTCAGATAATGCATTAACTAGTCATTCACAGAAAGGTCCAAAAATATACTTTTGATATTTGAAAATGAATTAGTGTGAAAATAGTGAAGGGTTCTTTATCAGACATCTTTCAGCTCTTTTAAAAATTCCCCAACTCTCTGGGTGACCCCAAATTTTTAGAACAGAGTTAGGGAGCATAGCAAAGAGAATGTGTTTTATTAACAGATGAGGAATTGGTATTATAAGATTCCCCCCCCCACACACATTATCAGCATGATCACTCCTTGTAACCATATTTCACCAATAAAATTGATAATGATCAGAAATAGCATTATATTATTTTTAATAAGAAGTTAAATAAGCCAAGGTAAGAAGTCATATAATTAGGTGACCTTTAATTAAAAAAAAAACTTGTAATATTGACAGCCCATGTTTAAAGAGTCTGACAGATGGAGGAGGGGAGAGGAGGAGGTGGTATATCAGTAATGCCTCTATATTTAGATACGTCTCCTTTATTTGACTGTACAGCTGGCCACTCAATTTATTTTAATGGACTTGCAGTTCTCTTTCCTCTGAATACTTTTCATGTGCTACACTGAAGTCTCAGTCTATACATATAAGTCTTAGGAAGGCAAGTTTATTACTGATGCAAAGTGAAGTCATTAGTAGGATCCAATGGATGAAATATCCCAATGACCCATTTACAATCATACTACGTCCAAACCAGATTCATCACTTTTACTTTCTGCCCTACAGGGAGCAACCCATCTACAGCACCCGAGCTCATGTCTTCCAAATTGACCCAAATACAAAGAAGAACTGGGTTCCCACCAGCAAGCATGCTGTTACTGTGTCCTATTTCTATGACAGCACAAGAAACGTCTATAGGATCATCAGCTTGGATGGCTCAAAGGTAAGCTCCTTGATTGTTTAAGCCAAAACAAACTAGAACTGCATTAACTTTGAAGCATAGATGCCTTCCTTTTAACATTTTATTTAAGTTATTTCACTGATATGCAATTCAGAATGATACAACAATTGTTGGAAGTTGGCTTACAAAATCATACTTTATTAAAAATGCTTTGAACTGTGCTGATTAACCATTGACAGTTCAAAAAGGCATGGCTTGCTTGTTTTTGTATGAGTAGGAATTCAGCATAAAAAGAGAAGCTAAAAACTGGTGTTTGAAATGATAGTGTATATCTGTACCCAAGTAGTCATATTTTTGTTCATTTAATTCTTAACATAAAATAGTTTTCAACAATAGCTAAATGTTTGCAATAGGAACTTGGAAATGTCTTCCAAAAGTGATGTTATACCATATGGAGAGATATAGTTTGCAGCGTCATTATACAAATGTGTGTAAATGTTTAGTGGTAATTAGAGATGTGGTCTCTTACAGGAAAATAAGGCTTTTATGGAAAAAGGTGTTTATGAAAAAAATAGCAATTTGCCTGAGCATTTGGAATAGCAAGTCAAGTGAACAATGACATTTTCTACCCATTCATTTTTCCCCATTCAGTGTTCTTACATTGTAATCTAGTAAATAAGTTGTATGTACGTGCATGTACAGCTCTCCAAAATTCATCCTTTTTCACTAGAACATGGAATGATAGGAACAAATTCCATCTTCCTATCAATTTGAATATTTTAAAATGTTAGCCATGGATATGATGTACAATTATAATTTTAAAACGGAATCTCCTGTTTCAAATATTTTACAATTATAACAATTTAAAATTTAAAATAACATAAGATAAGAGTAACAAAATTTTTAAAAAGTTGTATCTGTCAATAGCCATAAGGGGCAAGTGTAAAGGATACTAATATATCAGTGATTGTTGTTTAACATCCTTATTTAGGTCATTTGCCTATAGTAGAGAATTGGCTTTGGACATGAGCTTCTTAAAAATGAGGTTGATTTTTTTACCCTAGAAAATTAAATAGCTGGACTCCCAATATTATGGGAGACCTGTATCCTTATATACCAGTCCAATTAAAAAAAATTTCACTGATGCTTGTTAGTATGGAGAAAGCAGTATTTTAAAGATATTGATTCTAACATCCAGTTTCATTGATGTATATGAGAACTTAAATAATTGGACAAAAATACAGTGTTTCATGTGAGAATTAGTTCATGCAATTATTATAGCACCACCAACTGGATGACACAAATGTAAAAAGCAAAAAGTGTTTGTTCCTTCATTTTCCCAATGAAACTACTCATTTGGACAAGAAAGCTACTTTCATTGTGAAAAATATAAATATCTGACCTATACATGTTCATTAAGGTTTCAGGGTGTGAGTGATATTTATCCCACTTGAAAAGCCATTCCTTGAAATAAGCTGCAATTTTTTTTGAGTTAGAAAGCACTGAAAATCTCCAGTTCTGCTGAATAGCCAAGTTTATGTTTTGGGGATAAGCCTGTTTCTAATATTATGGAAGGTGACCTTCAGATTAAGAAACTGATCTGCCAATAGGTGTCAACTTCCCACAACTCTGATCTAATGGCCGACTCTTTATTGCCTTAAAATTAGCCTTCTTTAATTGCTGCATTTTATTTACGGTACATTTTGGACCATTAAATAGACCATTTAAACATTTTTCACTTAGAAACAACTGCAGAAAAGCTCCACTGTTAATAGTTCTGGGTGAAGGCTTTTTAGCCATAAACATCTTCCCTAAACTGTTGTTAGCCTTGTTAAAGAAAAAATTATAACTTCTCTCCTATGGGATAAAAGCCACATGAAGCCAGAGCCTATAAGATAGATATAGAAGCAGCTAAAAGGTCTGGACATAGTGTGAAAGAATAGTGTGAAAGAATGAGAATGATTTCAGAATCAGATAACATCATTAAGATGTTTTTTTTGGGAGGTCACTATTTGTACATTTAGATGAAAAAAGCTTAGACCTAATGGTCAAGAATTACTCAAATAAGTCTCCTTAGTGCCATAATTGTACTATGTGTTTCTTTTTGTCTCTGGGCAAAAATATGGCTAGAGTTCTCTTAACAACCCATTTGGGTTATTACAGTGCCTTTAAAACTATCTAGAAGCTGTAGATGGAACACCATATTGAATTCAAGCTGGCAGCTTAGACAAAATGCCTGATTTTGGGTAAAAGTTGCTCTTTTTTAAATAAAAAATTCAATATTTATATAAATATTTATAATATTTACATACAAGCCATGCCCAGCCAGTCACATGACTACCAAGCAACATCCATAAATTAGGCCATGCCCGCAGATCCAGTTAGTGGTCCCTGGGATTTAAAATTATGAATTTGGTGCGGGTCCAAAAGGTTGCGCAGTCTTGTGTTTCTGCGCAGCCTGGATTAATTGTTTTGGGGGTTGCTCTGGGGGTGAGATTTCTCTGCGGCCCACTAAAATTTTCTTGTGGCCCACTAGTGGGCAGCAGCCCACCAGTTGGCGACCACTGCTTTAGAATGATGTTACATACTGTCAGAAAGATGAAACTTCTATCAGTATACCTATTTGTTAAGTTGGCATTGGATACAGGAATATCCTGAAAAAACATGAATAAGAATCAGCATAACAAAAAGCATAAGAATCAGATCAGACCAAAAGTACAGTGCTCAATTATGTTTCACACAGTAGCCAATCATATATTTTGAATAAATTCAGCTGTCCTTCGTGCAGTTATAAACATGTGAAGAAAATAATACCTATCTCGTATCTTTGTTGTCATCCACTCCCTTACTGTTCACATTTTGAAAATATAATAGACGCATCTGTTGTACCAACATTCTTAGTATGATCACATAATTTTTTAAAACATGGTCACTCCCTGGATAATGAAAGGGACAGCACCCGACTCTTCATGTAATAACAACATAATGACAATTAAAAAGAGCGTATACAATATAGAATCAATTATCATTGCTGACTGTGGTTGGTCACAGGTTTCCCACCATTCATAGCTGTATTATAATCATTGGCAGATTCTATTTCAACTTGCTAATGGAGCAGAGTATATCTGTGAATATGATCAGTTTTGAATAGGCTTTTTGAAGAAGTTTTTAGAAGGTGATTCTTTGGTTGGCAAAATAGTCTAAAGCTTACTCTATTCTACAGCAGCTAATTAACACTACCAAAATGGATTTGTGATTGTGTTTATTTTTTCTGTGTACAGGCAATAATAAATAGTACCATCACTCCCAACATGACATTCACAAAAACATCACAAAAGTTTGGTCAATGGGCAGATAGCAGAGCAAACACTGTTTATGGCTTGGGATTTTCCTCTGAGCATCATCTCTCAAAGGTAAGTATTTCCACCAGGTATATATATGATTGCTTGGAGCTAGGAAGCAACAGGGCAAAGTTATGCAAAAAAGAAGTTAAATGTTTATAACACTTTTAGAAAGTTAATGCAATTTACTTCTGAAAATATAGTATTATCTGCTAAGCAAAGACCTCTTAAGTAAACCTTTAAAGTTGTATGATGTCGTCCTTCAATTCATATAAACAAAATTTAATTATTGGTTTGGGAATAATAATTCCAAACATATCTCTGATATATGCTTCTCAACTTTAAAAATAATATTCTTTCTTGACTGTGTTCCAAAACTCAATTTGATTGCTAAAACAAACAACCGTATATAAAACGATCATTGGCTATTAACATCCCAGATTAAATTTAGAATTCTTAAAGGCATCTGAACTTTGTGTTTGGACCTAGGCTGTTTTCCTGCATATGCATATTTTTATGCTTGACATTTCAGAGTTTTGGATTGCCATTTGCAATGTTTGTGTAGATGAAAGCACCGTCACATCTTATTAGCATGATGATATTAATTTGGAAAAACTGCCCTTGTGCGTGTGTGGAATTTATGTTTTTACAAATTTTTATAAACCAGTGCTTCGTTTGCTTGTATCATTGTATTCATGGGGTCTGAAACTATTTGTTTTAGTTATGCATACCTGCTTTAAGAACTTGCTGTATTCAGTTTTCTGTCATGGCTGAACAGAATGTAAACTCAAAACTCAATGAAGAAAACATATTGACTTGGGACAAATGTTATCCTTTAATTTCTATGAAATCTTGTTCAGAAACTCTGTAGGCACTTTTAAGTATGTATCCGATATGGACAGGTATAAGTTTATTCCCTGAGAAAGAATGCTTAAATATCTAAAGGAATATTCGCTTAGTTTCATTTCAGAAACTCCCACGTAAGAGCAAAATGATGGTAGAGAGAAGATGGTAGCTGTATTTGCAAGAGAGATTTTACAGGAAGCACTTATTAAGTTAGAATTCAAACCCTTATCTTACCCTACAATTATAGTATACTATCCAATCATAATCCAAGAACTAGAAATATAAGAAAAAAAATTAGAGTAGATCAAACTGCTTGTACATTATAAAAGCATTATTAGACTGGCATTTATTTTTCCTCATGATTTTTTTTTTGTTTCAACTGTTTTTCAGTTAGCTTTTACAGCACTGCATTATATGTGAATTTAGGGGAGGTAGCTCCTTGTTTTTCATTTTATGCTTAACTCCATTTGCCACTTTATTAGATGTCCTTACAGATTTGAGAGACTTTTTAAGGGTGCTTTGCTGTTTCACATTCTAATTATTTATGAACAACTTAAAAAGCACTGGTTCTAAATGGATCCAATTATTTTTACACCTCCATTGTGAAAACTAATTACTTTTACTGATTATTTTAAAATCTTTAATCAGGTAATGTTGTTGATCCATAAAATCTATAGCCATTTAATGATGTAAACTCATCTCTTTATCCCCTAAATTGGCTCAGGAGCATTTGATGAAAAACTTAGTTGAAAGCTTTTTATAAAGCTGACCATATATTTATCTTGTTTACATTTTCAAAGAACTCTAAAAGATTAGTGATACAGAATTTAAATGTGAGCAAGCCAGAGTAATTCTCTTTCTTTTGTTTTTATTTTAAATATTATTATTCAACAAATTATGAAGAGCTGATATTGAACAAGTTGGTCTATATAATTTAAGCAAAACAGACAAAATTAATTGATTCAACTTTTCTTGTAATCATTTAATTAAAATTTTAGTATTCCCCATTTTCCTGTATTATTCAGTGGCCTGACTGCATCTCTTTATTGTTTCCCACTTTTAAACTATTTAAAGAGTTTTGATTGTTGCTCTTACTATAAATAAAAAGATGTCCCTCCATTATTTTGGCGCTCCTTATCTGTTTTGGTTTTATAGAAATATGTGTTCCTTTTGAAGTTTTTTTTTCATTGAAATGAATGTTTTTGAATAAACAGTTTCCTTAACAATTCTTGTTATAATGTCTTTGACTAAAATTTATCTTTCTTAACTTGTAATATATAACTTCACTGAGTTTTTAATTGTAATTTGAATGACTCTCAAACATTTTCAGAAGATTTATAATGATATGCTGCAGGTTGTCCCCTTGTCTTCCAAGGTCATTACAAAAGTTGATCCTTCTTATATTTTCTTTCAACTTGGTAATTTTTGAAAAAGAGTTGAATTGAATATGCTTCTTTGGAATTCTTTTTTCTCTTAATGAGTATATACAATAAATTTATTACAGTGGTAGTCTAAATCTCACTGTATTCAATAAGATCCCATTTTGTATTAGATACTAAGAGTATCTATTAACAAAATGCACTCGTCTTTGGCTCCCTGATTTTATTCTCCATCTCAAAGTATATGGAGAAGTTTACTATTAGCATTTTTGATCAAAACTTACTAATGGGATCCTTTCTTATTTATTCACACTAAATGTGTAGAGGAGTTTGTCTGTTTTGAATTTTCTAATTAGTTTGATCTTTATGTCCTCTTTAATTATTCTGCACTTACAATTTTTTACTATTATTCTAGAGGTTGTATTCAGATTACCAGGTTTCCGTTGTATGTACAAGAGTACTCAGGATCTCTAGTTTTGGCTTAGTAGTTGCTAACATTAGCAGAGAAACTATATTGCAGTGACCCTATTTTTTTTACATGTGGAGGGAGGGAGGGAGGGGGAGGGAGAGAGAGAGATCAGGGTTGAACTATGGAGTCAGTGCTAGCACTGATGATTTTCCCTAATTGGGTAATGAAATATCTGAAGTAAACAACCAAGCTCAAAGAGTATACAGAGAATAAAATCAGAGAGCACCAAGGGCTCCTCAACTATTTACAATGCCTGTTTAAGTGGTCTTTTGGTTCAGCATTCAATGACAAGTTATAAACATTCAGTTTCTATCTCAGTTGCAGGAGTCATAAGTTATCCAACCTAGCTGCTTTTCAGGCTTTAAATCAAAGCCAGCCGGGAAAGGCCACGAGTTCTTAGTCTTCATAAGAATTCTAGGAGGCATTCAGATTAGCGAACCGTGAATTACCTTTACTAGCAACACATAGGTTTTTTGGGAAGAAAATTAAATATTTTTGCATAGTTTGAAATATTTTAAAATATGATTGGAAGTAAATTTGGGAACTAGTTAATTTTTAAAAAGAGTATACTGATTATAAATACAGGTAGTTCAGGCTTAGCAACAATTCAAACATATATGAACCTTCCCAGAACTTACAGCCTGCTTTCAAAGTTCATGTGGTTGCATTTTGGGCGCTTAGCAACAACTAGTTCACAACTATGGCTGTTTTCAGCATTCCCATATGATAATAATTTTTGCTGGTTTTTTGCTGGTTTCTGGCTTTTAGTTTGCTTCCAGCAAAAAATTCCTGCTGGGAAAAACGGATTTGCTTAGGGACCACAATGCTCACTTAACAATTGTGGCATATATTTAACAACCACTGCAAAAAGATCCTAAAACCAGGCACAATCCACATGATGACCTTGTTGACAACACTATGAATTATGACATTAATTCTGGGTTCAATTACAACCATAAGTTGTGGATTACCTGTAAGAATCTTGTGATATCTTAAAAATTAATTGATCAGGCATAGATTAACTGTTATGCTTGTTATACATGTACTTTTAAAGTAGCCCAAAGTGCTACAGACTATTTATATACCTTGTATTTACTGATTAGGTATTCCCTTCACTACCTAAAATATGTTTGTAATATAATGCGCAAATTACTCACATTGCACTAACCACGAATTATTTATGGATGCATTTCTGAATGTTGGAAGAGTAGCTGCTATACTTTTTGAACATGTCTTGAAATGGTGAAGGCATCCAGAGAGAGGTATGAATTTTCAGAGTTGTGATTTGAGGTTATGCTTTCAATTCCAAAGAAAGTATTATACTTGGGGTTTATTTACATATTTATCTGACTTGCTATGATAACTAGTTCTATAGTTTCATGTAGTTCCAAATAATTTTATAGTGCCATAAAGGCACCCCTTGTTTAACGACTACTCGTTCAGCAACCATTCAGAATTAGCAATTGTTCTACACAATGAGATTGACAACTGGTCCTAGTGGTTGCAGTTGTTGCCACATATCCCAGACACATGATTGTGATTAGACACAATCTAATAGCAGTGGAATAGCAGCTGGCTTGCAATTACAACAATCACAGCATACTGCACTCCCATATTTGCCATTTGCAACCTTCGCTGCTGACTTCTGCAGGCAAAGGGAAGACATTACAATGGTGATCATATGACCCTGGGATTTGCTTAACAAGGGCAAATGGAACTGCTTCAACTCCCATCGTATGTGCTCATGCGGTGTGCTGTATAACTGCAATGCTTAGCAACGGAGTTGTTGGTCCAATTACAGCCTTTAAACAAGAACTACCTATAGTTCCAAATAGTTTCACACAGGGCACTCTAAAGAGTATTTCATAAAAGTGTAAGGATGATAATAACTGTGTATCCGTTGTCCTGGGCTCTCCTTCCTCTGGCCCCCCACCTCCAAGTGTAAATAATTTATTAGAATTAACAGCCAGAGATACATAATTAGGAGTACTGATGGGCATATATTAAACCATGAATTCCAAAAAAATATCTTCCCACCATCCATAATGATTAGAATCAAAGATTCGTTTTCTCCTAAGGAGCCTTTCTCCAAAAGGGAAAAGGAAGCTTTGGATTCAACACAAAGGACTGTGATTTATATCCTTTGAGTCCAAAATGTTTTAACATATACTGTGTACAGGAATGTCAATAACATTCAGAATGCTGTGCTCAAAAGAAATGATTAGAAAGCTGAAGTTTGAAAATGAATGGTTAATATTGTAAAGATGAAGAAAAAGCTTGAACATTCAAAAAATACAAGAAAGTGTTCCTATTAATTTCTGGTTCCTGCAGAAATTGATGAATTAAGACCAACAGTCAGTGTGAGATATGTGGAAAGAGGCCCAATGCATTGGTAACTGAACCAAATAGGTAATTTTTGGCTACAGAGCATATTCCAAAATAAATACAGGTATTCTTCCACTTACAGCTATTCATTTAGTAACCATTTATAGTTAACAACAACACTGAAAGTGTGCACACTTATGATGGTCACATGATCAAAATTTGATCACTTGGCAACTGGCATGTATTTATGACAGTTGCATTGTCCTGAGATCATGTGATCACAATTTGTAACCTTCCCAACAGGCTTCCAACAAGCAAAGTCAATTGGGGTAGGAGCCAGATGTGCTTAATGTCCACATGATTCATTTAAGGATTGCAGTGATTCATTTAACATCTATGTCAAAAAGGTCATAAAATGGGGCACAATTCACTTAACAACTGTCTTGCTTAGCAAAAGAAATTTGCTGTGGTTGTAAGTTGAGGACTACCCTATACTGTATGTCTGGCTGACTTCAGTCAGGTGTAACAATCTAAATAAAAATATAAAGCTTTATCATACAGTGATACAATGAGTAATCAGTAAACAGTTTTATTTCAGTACAGCTCAAATCAATCAGTAGACAGAGATAGGTGACTGCCACACCCAGCTATTCCTGACCACCTTTCTTACGGTTTTCTAATTCAAACATTTGAGCCAATGAGATTGTAAGGCAATGACCATTCACATGCCATCCCCACCTATTTACGCTTTCTAAGCACACCCCCTCCTTGGGCAGTTTCTGTCCCCTCTTATCTATGACTAGCTACAGTGGCTACAGAGTTCAAAAGGTGCAGTTGAAAAAGCACCTTTAGGACAACCATGGTTGACTGAGAATCTCCAAAGACAATGGCTACAGAGGCAATGCCTGTAGCAACAACACCCAAGTCTTTAATCTTTCTTTCCCTCAGCCCTTGCAACTTCTCATTTACTACAAGAGAGCTAGCCTTCCCCATTGCTGTTCATTACAACTTTTTAGCTTTGCTTTTTCTCTTCTTTGCTTTTTCAAAATTTAGTAACTCTCACTGCTCTTAGATACCTTATTATAAGAAATAGTTATTTTAAAAATTTGAAGTACAATAGGAAAACCAATTCAAAAAAGCAGTTGCATTTAATGTTTAAAAAGTAATCTAGAACATTATATCTGATTTGTTTATAGATGAGAGCTGATTTCTTAAGGAGTAGGTTTCTATCTGTAGCTTTTGTGGAGAGTGGTTCTTGTTGTGAGAGAGGGGAGGAATAAGTAATCTTTAAATGGTTATTGTTTAACAATCATAATAATTATTCATAGTCTTATATCCAAATGGCTGTTCTGGTTATTGTCATATTGGATCACAAATTTTATATTTTGATGTCCCATTTTTTTCAGAAATCTTTGTAAGGACTACAGTATAAGTCTTCTTCCCAAATAGTAATTATGTGTTGATATACCTCCAGCCAATGGTTTTATTATATTGGTTATCATCATTACTGACTTTTTACATATTTTTGCTAATTTTGTGGGATGATTTTGTGGAGAGCCTGTGCTGTATGTTATAAATTTGTTAAATAAATAAAATGTAACTATCCAACCTTTGTTTTCAGTTTGCAGAAAAATTTCAGGAATTTAAAGAAGCTGCACGATTAGCAAAAGAAAAATCCCAAGAAAAGATGGAATTAACAAGTACACCATCACAGGTATGTTTGTCCTTGTTTTTGATTAAAAATGAGTATAATTTATTTGAAATGTTCCATAGTTTTGATTTACCCATTAAATATCAGTTTTGGGACATTCATCTGCATAGTTTCATGGAGGCTGCTTCAGTCCTATGCCTGCTGCTCCAGGTACTGTAGGTCTGATAAAGAGATTATAGCTTTTCACTCTGCAAAAGTTGAAGCAATTTATACATTGGAGTAAGCCATTCCTTCTAAACTTTATGGAGATTAGAAGGATCCTTGAGTGAATATAGAATGCAAGAAGCAAAATATTTGCTTCAGCTTGGGTATATATATCCAGTATGGGTGCAAGCAGGGGTGGGATTCTACAGATTCGCACCTATTCACTAGAACTGGTTAACATTCTAAGCAGTTCAGAGAACTGGATGTTAGAAGAAATTACTGGCTTAATCCTGTAAGGAAGGCAGGAAGGAAACATTCTGGTGTTGCTTACAGAAACTGCCTCTCCGTTAACCCTTATTACATTCTTGGCAGGAGTAGACTTCCTGTCTCTGGAACTTCTCTGGAGATTTTTTTCCCCTCCTTTGCTGGTACTTTGCTTGTGTGGAGTGACCATTCAAAGTTACAATGGCAGTGAAAAAAGTGACTTATGACCGTTTTCACACTTAACGACTGTTGCAACATCCCCACAGTCACGAGAGGCCAGTCAAGGAGAACCATGCCTCGATGTGAGTGATGTTCAGTTGGACATGGCCAGCCAATCACATGGCTACCAAGCAACGCCCACCAACTAAGCCACGCCCACAGAACTGGTTGTTATAAAATTTCAATCCCACCCCTGGGTGCAAGGCTTTCTTTTCTTAGTTTGCTTCCATATGGTGCCCATTGTGTGTATGCATGGGGTGGGGGAAATTTGCTAGAAGACAGACACTTGACAATTCCATTTGTGTGTGCATGCTATTAATGTATAACATATTAATTTAATGCATCTTGCTGTTTGGTCCCCCCACCCCACCCCCAGTTTTGTATGCTGCTCAGAATCCACTGGAGTTGGGTGGCCAATAAATTTAAATAAACCAATAATAATAATAATACAAAATATGTGGTGATTATATTGTGTTTCTGCACCTGCCATCTTCTTGATTTTGACATCCTCCTGTGCTGTTTACAAATGGTTCCTTCCTGCCTCACTACCTCTTGTTCAGATGTTCAAATTATAATGGCTTACCTTCTTCATCTGTTTTTGTCTTCCTTATGACCTTGTAAGCTAGCAGCTTCTTCTTCCTTCTCTTGGGATTCTTCCATTTCAGTATCCTTGTTTCCTCTTACCTTTGATTGCTGTCCCATTCTTCCTGTGGATCTTGCTTGGACCACGTGCAAATTGATATTCACATTTCAATATCCTTTGCCTATCTTGAAAAGCCAAGACAGATCAATCTTATGGCTGTTGGCTAGATTGGGAACTTGCGGAAAAAATATCATGAAAGAAGGCAACCACTTCCATATACTGTTAAGTGGAGCTGAATTTGGTTCCTTCTATTTAATAAAAAGTGAGAACTAATCACCGGGATTGCAAAGTGTTTGAATGAGGGTGCTTTGCAAAGCAGGTTATTGGAAATAAAGCCCTTGCATTGAAGGAGCTACTTTGTTTGCACACCTCATGCAGCTGCTTTGAAAGCTGTCCCTGGTTCTCTATACTTATATCTACATGCTGAGGCAACCTTTTTGTTAGGATCTCCTGCAAAATGGCTGAGCACGTTTAGCCTGAGAGAAAGCTGTGACTGCTTTAATGCTTTGTGGAAGAGAGATTTTGTATAGCCACACTAATCACTTTATTGAGATATTTGCTTGAGTAATCACTTTCTTACTAAGAACCATAACCCCAAGGGTGGGTAAATTAATACAGTAGTCTAGGCAATATGTAAACTGTAAGTGCCCTGAGCTTTAAAGGGTAGCAAATGCCTCAGGCTATTCCTTTTGTTAAAGATCTAAAAATGACCTGACTGAGAAGAACACAGCAAGCCAATTGATTGTAATGGTTCTTTTTATTTATTTATCTAAAACCATCTTGCACTTACTGTAGAAGGGGTTATCAAGCATTGTTTTTTTAATTTCATTACACTCAGTGGTGCAATTCAACTGGTGTAACAACCGGTTTGGTGAGTGTGCACTTGGTGGAAAGAGAGCAAGGTAGGAAAAATGAGGAAAGGGGAAGGAAGAAGAAAGGAGAATGAAGAGAAGGGGAGGGGAGAGAGGAAGGAAGGAAATTATAATGAGGGTGAGGAAGGGTCTCAGCGAAGTCCTGCTTTAGCACTTGACCACCATAGGTGCCCCGACACGAGTGACATTGAGTTGCCACACCCACCATGGCCATGGCCCCTCCAGCCCTCCCAGGTCAAACACATGCCTGATGCAGCCCTCAATGAAATCAGGTTTGATACCCCTGCTCTAACACAAAGTTAGATGATAACGCCATTAAATTGAAATATAAATTTATTTATATTTTAATTAATTAATTTTAAATTAAGTTTAAGAGATCCTTCAGGGCTGTCCACTAAAAATCTGCTTCTTCAGATTGAATTCAAAAAGATGTTTCCAAATATTGGAGGACGCAAATGTAAGTTCCATCTTGCAACTTTTCTCGCAGTATTGCAGTTTTCCTTTCTGTCTGCCATGTGATCACCATGTGAGCATCCATCCAACTGCTTTAAAAATGAAAATAAGTTCTATGCTATATCTGCACACTTCAGAGGACAGTACCATTTTGGATTCCAATATGAAGACCACTGTGCAGCTCTAAATAGGAAGAAAAGTAGAAAGTCAGTATAACCTCTACCCCAATGTTTCTCAACCTTGGCCACTTGAAGATGGAGCACTTCAATTCCCAGAATTGCCTAGGTGTGGGAATTCTGGGAGTTGAAGTCCCCCCATTTTCAAGCGGTCAAGGTTGAGAAACACTGCTCTAGCCCAATACATGAGGATGTAACAATCTATCCATCTAAAACGGGGGTGTCAAATGCTATTTCATTGAGGGCCGCATCAGGATTGTGTTTTGACCTTGGGGGGGGAGTGGGCATGGCCAGCTCAACATCACTTGCATTAGGGGTGCTTCTAGTAGCCCAAGTTTTCTGCCAGAGAAAATGGGCTCCCGACTCCATTTTCACTGGCAGAGGCACTGCGGGCTAGTCCTTCGCTGTTTCCATCCACCCCATGGGCCAGATCTAAGCACCCTGTGAGCCGGATCCAGCCCCTGGGCCTTGAATTTGACACCCCTGATCTAGAATTATTTTGAATGTGCCACATGGAAAGAAGCAAATGAAAAATTCTGGAAAAGGAAAAGCCTGAGGCAGCTCCTACTCTTGGACACCTTAGCTGAAAGTGAAACTGAATGGATTCACTCATCTCTGAGTTTCAGTTGGGATCTTTTTTTAAAAAAAAAGATAATTCCACATTCCGTAATTCATTTGAACATGAATGCAGGTAGACTCTGCCTTTTTTTCAACATTGTGAGATTTTGCTATTGTTGTCATAAATTGGGGCAGAAATGAATACCTAGAAAAAACAGTGGCACCTTCAAAGTCTTAGGCCCTCAGAATGAGGAATTTGTGCTGTGCCACAAATTCTGCCCTTTTGGAAATATAAAAATCCGCAACATCACAATACATATAGAAACAACATCACAACACTGCCAGAATTGCTATGATCCTCAGATACTGCTACATGAAGCAGAACATCTTCTGACATAGTTAGTTGATCACAACAATAGATGGGAGATGATTTGATGTACACACTGGTTGCAGATCTCTAGCTTCCTTTTGTTTTCTGCTTTAAAGGTTCAGTAGGATTCTGAACTCCGATATTTTCTAAGACCTACAATATATTGGATAACTGTAGCATTTTATTTTACATATTGGAAGTATATTGTAAAAAAATTAATTTTGTAACCATTCCATTTTTTTTAAAGGAATCTGCGGGTGATATTCAATCTCCTCTTACACCGGAGAGCATTAATGGGACAGATGATGAAAGGACAATTCCAGAAGTGACACAAAATTCAGAACCAAGGGCTGAAGCAACCCAGAATGCATTGCCATTTGCGCATAGGTACAGATTCCATTCCCGCATCCTTATTAAGTAATATGTTCATGTGCTTTTTTTGTTTTTGTTAAAATGGTCTCTTTTATTTGGTGAATTTAAAAATCTTGCATGACTGGTGGGCTTACAGCCATGGATACAACTTGTTTCATTTGCTGTTTCTCTACTAAAATGACATGGTTTGGTATAGAAAAGAAGCTGATCTCTTCAATGATGAGAACTACAGCAGAAAGAAGAATCATAGCTCTGCCAGTGTGGGTTTTTCCCCCCCTCCTGTCTATATTACTTCTTCTCTGTGCATCTTGACCATGGACTAACACTACAACTTAGACTTATATACCGCTTCACAGTCCTTTTACAGCCCTCTCTAAGCGGTTTACAGAGTCAGCATATTGCCCTCAACAATCTGGGTCCTCATTTACCAACCTCAGAAAGGTGCAAGGCTGAGTCAACTTTGAGCCTGGTGAGATTCAAACTGCCAAATTGCAGGCAGCCTGCAGGCACCAGAAGTAGCCTGCAGTACTGCATTCTAACCACTGCACCACTGTGGCTCTAGATTTAATCTAAAGTTCAAGTGATTTTTTTTTTTTTGGGGGGGGGGGAATGAAGCACATCAGTAAAAGGACTTTATTTCTACTCTTCATGTATGAAGCAATACTTGAATGCCTGGAATTTTAATATCATAATTTTAAAAGGGCTTCCTCCAATATTTTATTCAATGTCAGGTACTTAGAATGCAAATAATACCTGTAAAAATCATTGCAGAGTGCGGTGTTCTTATTCCAAGTACTGGTTAACCATGCTCTTTTCAAGTATGGCCCATTTCTCTTTCTCTGGCTCCAATTCTGGTTCTCCATGAATGTGCAATGACCTTTTAGGGACTTGAGAATGCTCCTAAACTCTTTTTAAAAATGTACATTTCTTCAAATCTTAAGATGCCTCCAAACAGCTATATCTCTCTTGCATATAGATGGTATTGATACCATCCACACTGCGTATGTCAATACATTGCATGTACCCCCTATTTGATGGGATGCGGAGAGCAATATGTTGTCTTGGAATGTAGTTTTTCGAGATTCTGGTTTGCATAGAATAGTCTGAGAACACTTAATGTGAAATTGGTTTTTAGTTGTGCTTTTGGCAGATTGATCAAAATGTGTTTCAGAACTGACAGATGCTGTCCTTATTATTAGAGATTGTTGCAAGTGATAAAGATATGATTAAGTTTCGTAACCTAGTCTACACCTAGTTTCTGTCACACTAAAGAGCTCTACAGATAATTCTCAAAGTCCAAGCATTTGGTTAGCAATTGTTTGAAGTCACAGTGGCACTGAAAGAAGTGACTTATGACCAGTCCTTGCACTTATTACTATCACAACATCCCCAGGGTCATGTGATTAAAATTTGGATGCTTGGCAACTGGTATGTGTTTACAATGATTGCAATATCCTATGATGTAGTGATCTTGTGATCTCTCCATTTGCAATCTTCCCAGTCAGTTTCTGTCAAGCAAAATCAATAAGGGAGGTGAGATTCACTTACTGACTGTATGATTCACTTAACTGCAATGATTCACTTAATAGCCATGGCAAGAAAGGTCATAAAATCAGGCACAACTCACTTAAGAACCATTTTGTTGAACAAAAGAAATTTTGGTCCCAGTTGTGATTGTAAATTGAGGACAACCTGTATATGGGAATTTGATTGATCAAAGTCATAATGGGTAACTGAAATCACTATCTATAGGAGCGTCCATTGATGACAACAGAATGATTAGGAAACAAATTGCAGACCAGGTATATGAAGGATGTGCAAATCAGATGAAAAGAAGAGAGATTTTTATATAATGTTTTTGGCTATTTGGTTTTCTACTTTTTTTAAAAAAAATTAACAATTAATCAGACATTTGAGTCACGTTTTTTCCACATTGAGAAGCAGACAATTTTTATTATAATATTGTATCCTGTTATAATGTTATAATTACAAAGAGTTTATCTTGAATAGAAGATTCGGGGGGAAACAAATGTATATTTTACAGAAAACCTGGAGATTGGAAGCCAATGTTTTGAAATATTTAATAGTTTTGTAAAGAGATTGAGCTTAAACTTTGAAAAAATATTTTTATAATATATAACACAGCACTAAACCATATGTTAAGTGAATCTACTTGGTTAAATTGCTATGTGCTGCTGTTGTTCCAAAATAGTAAATTTATTCTAAATGGAAAGAAATATTAAGATTTACTATCTTTAAAGGTGTGTACATGCCTGAATACCTGCTTTTGTAATTGCTACTAGTCCATATTTTCTATTGTGTATTTTTGTAAGAGTATTGCACTATAATTGGAAACTGAAGTCCGAGAAGGTTGCGTTCATATCTTTATCAAAGAGGTTTAAGTAAGATCTATGTGTCTTACTCTATTCCTTCCTGCTTTTTTATCTATTAAAGGCATATATATCAGAAAGACAGGTTATACATTTTACATATAAAAATAAAAAAAGTATTTAATGAATACATAACTTGCAAAAAAATTTAACTTAACAGTTTGGAGGAGGGTGAGACCACATGTATATTCCCCAAGCTACCTATCTTGTCTAAATACATTCCCTTTGATTTCCTGTCTCTCAGTTTTGAGTTTGAATTCCATTCAGAAAAAGCAATGAATAAGGGATGTTGCTATCTCTTTCTAATTTCAAAATGCCAGATTGCAGAACCTGTAGTTGAAGTCCTTTTATAATCCCTTACCTCTCACCATGATGGCTGAGCTCCTGGGAGGATATTAATGAGATGTCTGCAAAATATCCCGAATTAAAACAGTTACTTTGACCTTGAAATAATTCTTGCAACATTACTAGGACTGGCACTGTTGCTTAGAAGATGTCTGGTAAGGTCACCACTGTTACAAAATTCAGATTTTTTGCACACCACTAGGTTTAATCCAACAACATCGGGAGACCACCAAAGTCTCCATCCCCGTCCAAAAATACAGCATTAGGTATAAGAAAGAAAACTATTGAAGGCCAGTTGTGATTGCAGCTGACCCATGGCAAATTGCACATGTCCTTCATTGCCTTTCATCTTGTTTCTGTGAAAAGCAGAAGCTAAGCTATTTGATGTGGCTTTTTGAAGCTCATAGAGACAGTAGGGATATTGTTTTATGGAAAGTAGCAACCTGAATTATGCCAACTTTCTGTCCCTTCTAAAGCAATTATTTTGGGCTTAAACTATATGTTACTATTTAATTTTAAATGGACATGAGGTGTAATCGTGAAAAGATAGTTGGAAGTGTTTTTATAATCATTTATCTCTAATGGATATCTTCCTGAAGTTGCTCTTTACATCCAAAAAAATAACAACACTTTTTAATGGATCAAATTTGATTACAAAAGTGTGATTACAATAAATGCCTCCCAGGCTTTCTTCTCTGTTCTGTTAAAAGTTTTTTTTCTTCTTATTGGTTTTTAAAAAATAATATAATATGAAATGATATATTTAGTTAACATGTAAGAATGGTTTTTTATTCTGAGGAAGTGATTAGGTTATTACCATACAGATAACATGTAAATTAGAACCATGTAAAATAATTTACATGAAAATAAAGGCTTATTACCCCTTAAAGACTTAGCCAGTTTATTGTGGCACAACTTTTCTATAGGGTACAATTTGTTTTTTGTTTTTTTTTACAAATGCTTTTGTTTAAATCATCCAAGAATGCAAAATTCCAGAATGTTTTGTTGTTATTGGTAAAATATGGCTGATAATCAGAATATTTTTGTTGGAAAATAAGCTAAGCGTTATTTATATGAATGCACATAGTAACTCATCTCTGACAATTTATAAATTTTAAACACTTTTTAAATGTTTAAATAGTGAATTAATACAGTGTTTTTTATTTAAAACTTCGGCAAAAGTTTTAATACAGAGTCCTGATTTTAATACAGAGTCCTAATTTTGAAAAATATCACATACAGACATACTTGATGTTTGCTTTAAGAGTGAATTTAGCACTTTCTTGTGCCGAGCTGTGTAAAGATTTTGTTCAAACGCCAACCAAGGATTTTTACTTCTAAAATATTTTAAATGTATTATTCTTACTGTAAGAAAACTACATTAAGTCAGCATTCTGACTGAAAAGTAATTACTGTCCTGGGAATTAATAAAGAATGTAGCTTCTTGGAGTTTTGGGAAGTTCTTTGGAAGTTGTTGATGAAATGAAGATGTTGCTCAATGCATTTTAGTATCACAAATGCATCTGTACATATAAAGATTTTAAAATTACAGCAACGTACTCTGGATTGGATCTTGCAGAAAACACCCACAAGAGGAAAGATTCCTTTTTATCACCAGGAGACTTTGATCTTTTTTTTTTCTATTGGTTGAGCAGGGAAAAGACGATCTTTACACATTCCCCCTGCACCGTGCTTTTTGGTAATTTTCTGACAAGGGATATTTCAGGATCCTGCTGTCAACAAAATCTTTGGATAAAATTGGATGTATTTAGAAAATATATGAAATAAGATTAAATTTATAGTATTAGAATTATTTGTTTCTTGAAGTGATTGTTCTTTTTTGTACTCAGTTTTGGTATAATACCTTAAAATAAGGCTATTTCAAACAATGGTTCTGTTTTTAGTTTTCTTCTCTGTACAGCAATCTTTTAATAATGCTGCATATGTATCTGTTACTGTAAGAACAAATTTGCTGCTCTCATTAAAGGCTTTACAGAGAATATACCTTTGTGTAGATTGAATTGCATTTTATTATTTATTCGTGTATTAAATTGTAGATCCCTACAGGGGAACAAGACTCCTTTTAATGAAAGATTTAATATTTGGGTTATTAAATTGGGCTATCGGAAAACAGCTTGAATTCATATATAAATATATTTTGCTTAGATTTTTGTGAGTATAGTATAACTTCCCCAACCTTTTGACAACTGAAGGATTCCTAGATATTACAGCCAAAAGCTAAAAACCTTTCACTTAGGAGTTCATGGAATTTTAGTTCAA